ACTGTGGGGTAGTGTCAAGGTACCTTTATTAAACTTTAAGCTCTGCTTCGTGTTTTGTTTTTTTTTTTGTTTTTTTTTGCTCATGATTCATGTGTGTAACAGTGCATGTTCAGACACTAGAAACTCCATTCAGTTGTTCAGCAGTATATTCAACTGTGGTGTGGTGAACATTGCAACATTGCAATGGGTATACAGAATATAATTTTGATTAAAAGACACACAGGTTAACTTGTGTATTTAAAAATATTTTTTTCTTCTTTTCCTTTTTTAAAGAAAAATCCATTCATTCGAATTGGGCATTTGCCCTCGGTGTTTCCTGTGCTGCAGGGCCTGTATTAGTCCACCCCCTTTACCATGCAAACAGATCCCACCCCTTTAGAGATTAACCTCGCACTGCTTTTACATCAGGGACTTTAGCACAGACTTTCCCTATCTGTGATGACGGCAGAAAGTCAAGAGATATTTCTCTATAGCCCCAGACGAGCCACAGTCCACTTATAAATTATCATTATTCTATTCCATAATTTGCTATCGCGATGCCCAGGCTCGCTGGCCTCACCGACGCCCTGCTCCTCCTGCTCCTGTCCTGCTGCAGTCCTGTCCGGGGATATTTTGCGGAGGAGCGCTGGAACCCCGAATCTTCACTCCTCGCACCCCGGGTTCTTCTTGCCCTCATTTGCAGAAACTCCGAGCACTCATTGCCGTATTTCCTGGGTACTATTGAGCGCCTCAACTACCCGAAGGACCGTATGGCACTGTGGTAAGTTGTTACTGGGTATAGATGTTGCAGACTGTTAGGCAGCAAAAAGTGAAAGTAATTCTTGTTTTTGCCACAGGTTTCTTACAGAAAAATAAGTACCGAATGATACTTTTCAGATTGATTAGATCGATTAGCAGGAAAGGGAAAGAAAAGGGGTGGACCCGCAGAGATTGTCGGGGGTAACAAAATGGCTTTGGAAATAAGCGAAGTGTTGCGCAGAGATCATTCCGTCTTTGAAAAAACAGCAAAAGAAAATGTGAAAAACTCAAGCATAATACAAGAACGAACAAATGCATGAGTACAAACCAAGAATATAAAAAGAAATAGGCAATATTTTGCAGTCAGGGTAGGGGACAAAAGTGAGCACATCTGCTCATCAGGACAGTTGTGCGTCGTATTGATCTGTATACGTGGATGGGAGTGAACGACCGCATTGACCACGAGGGGAGCTGTGTGTTGTGTGTGATCTAAGATACAAGCTTTGACACAGTGCTCCACAAGCATACCGATGCCTGATACATTAACAATAAACGCAAAACAAGTGTCTGCCATGTGCAACTGAGTTTGGATTAGCACCATGAAAATTACCTGACCCATGTAGTCTGTTAGTAAGAGGCACCTTCCGTCGCGAAATGTTACATCTCAGGAGAAAGAAGGCAAGTGAGGTCAAACCAGGACATGATAGCTATCAAATTCCATCACCTCAGGGTTCAAAGTTTCACGTTTTCCTTTTAATTTATAACATATCTTCATCTTTAAGCTTATTCCAGTCTTCATGTACCAAAGCCTACATCTTCTCCACTTCCTGACTGGAAGTTAAACAGAGATATGCATCTGGCAATACAAGTCCCTGTTTGTGAAGTGTTTTTCTGACATTATTATGTGTTAAACAAATCACCTAATAACGACATTCTAGACAATTTATTGATTACATTACAATGAAGTGCTAAGTAAGAAAAGACGTTATGGTGCAGTTTTAATATTAAGCTTCTCCTAGGTAAAGGCCAACCTTAGATAATGACTCTCCGTGATAAATGATTATGGAGGCTTAAACTCAGTTCTCTCTTGATGGTTCATTAAACATGTTTATGTAGACCACATTTTAGACCTAACATCTTTGCACCCTCTCCAGACAGTATGACTTCTCAAGCTCCTTAGTCATCTGTCAGTCAAGTAAGTGAAGGAAAGCTATTTTCACCCTATACTTAATCAACATGCTTGAACAGCCCACCTGCACTTGTATCCTCAAGCAGTTTGAATGACTACCTGGTGGGCTCGGAGAGGCGTGGTCTTCATTCGCTATCTTGATGAGCAAGTTTCACCTTGTGCAGGAGTAAGAGTGTCTTAAATTCCTTTTTTTGTTTGGTAGTTTGTAAAGTCTTGTGTAAATATGTTGGCGGTAAGGACAGTGTTGTTTGACACACATTAAATTACATCTGGAAAAACCAAACAACTGTGTGATCTTATAAACACTATACACTGCACACATTTTGCAGCTGTAATTGAAATCTTTGGCGTCTTATGCCAGCATTCCTACACCGCTACAGAAATAATAGCTGATGTGGAAGTGGCACACCGCTCCTAAATGTATGTTTACAATGAAAAAGTTACATAGGTCTAAACAGTGTTCTTTAATAAGCACTTATTTTATCTGAGCACAAAAGGGAAATGGGAAAGACCGACAGCTGGAGTGACTGAAAAGTGTTTTAGCAAGGAGCTGCAGTGTTTACACAGATCCATGGGGAATTTCCATGGAAATCTGTTCTAGTGTAAACCCAGGGCCAGAATACAAGCACAGCTGGCTGTAGAGCAGGTGTCTGGGGACAGCAAATCATGTTGGCCTACATGGCCAAGAAATGAATCCTGCGGGTATTGGGTTATTCTGGAGTATCATTTCTAGGCTTTTCATCCTCGTGTAGAATTAGATCAAACATGCAGGCAGTCTAACTTGGGTTCATTTGCCTCACGCATAGCCTAAGTCACTTTAAACAATTTCCTTCTCTGTCTGTTGCAAACAGAGGTTTCACTTCTGTAAAGTAGTTTCCGTACTGTTATCGTTTTTTCACATTTCCTTTATACATAACTTGTCGATGCTGACCTAAAGTTTTTTGTTTTGTTTTTTTACAGGGGGGGGGGGGTATTGCTGGTGTCCTTTACACTTGTGTCACTTCCCGCAGCTTGTACATAATGCATTTACAAAAAGTGAACACAGGGCTATTGTTATTTGAACCTTGGGTTTGTCTTTCACTCATGCCTCAACTAGAACTCAGTTTGGCACCGCTGCCTACAGTCAACCACTGTTACAAATTTCTTCTCGTTGTTACAGTTTTCCTCCTTTTACCTAGGTTCTTAATGAATGCACTTAATTATGATAATTTACATTTTTTTTCTGCATTGACAGGGTAGCAACTGATCATAATGAGGACAACACCACAGCCATTCTGCATGACTGGCTTGTAAAAGTACAGAAGCTCTACCATTATGTAGAGTGGAGGCCAAAAGAGGAGCCCAGGTTTGTTATTTTAAAGATGGAATTGTATAATCCTCAAATAGCTCACAGGAAATTGAGTCAGACGTCACATGAAATGAGTTTAATTAATACTGAAATATTTTGTGTAGAAATTATGAAGATGAGGAAGGTCCAAAAGACTGGACAGATCCTCGTTATGAGCATGTTATGAAGCTTCGGCAAGCAGCGCTGGAGTCTGCTCGTGAGATGTGGGCAGACTATTTTATGGTAGGTAAATAAAACTACTCTTTACAGTTACAAAAGGAAGCAGAATTACACTCAAAATGTTGATTATAAACACTGGGCCTCACTATTTTTAACATTCAGTAATAAAAGCCAAAGAAAAAGTACAGAATTGGGACCAAAATGCCACCACAACTGTAATTGTGAGGGAGACCGACTGTTAAAACTTTTCCCAGTTATGTTCTGTTTCTTATGGTTAAAGTTCATCTTTCAGTCTAGTTCATCTGGACACTTAAATCTTAAATGCGCATTTCTATTTGTATTCACCAGCCTGGCTCACATTGTCTTGTTTCAGCAGGGTATAATTTTGAAGTAAAGTCTATCCAAAATTGCAATAATTTTGTGCTTTTAATCTTACATCTAAACTTTCTCTCTAAAAAACAGAATTGTAGTATATATACTGCTGGTCAGAGATCACTCAGTTTTAGTTACCCCATTTATCCTTCGGGAGCTGTTCAGCGTTTCTTCTCAAGAGTTTTGTGTACAGTGTGTTATTCATACACTAGCTGTTTTTCTTATGCTCCTTGTGCAGCTGGCAGATTGTGACAACCTCCTCACCAATTCAAATGTGCTCCGGGGGCTGATGAAACAGAACAAGACTATCATCGCTCCGATGCTTGACTCTCGTGCAGCCTACTCAAATTTTTGGTGTGGAATGACTTCCCAGGTACTGTGATGATCACTGAGAAAACCCCTTTGTGTATGTCAGAAAGTTTCAATAATCGCTGTAATAAACAGCCTAACAACTCTCATCCTCCAGGGTTATTATAAGAGGACACCTGCCTACATACCTCTTAGGAAGCAGATACGAAAGGGCTGTTTTGCCGTTCCTATGGTACACTCCACGTTCCTAATAGACCTCAGGAAAGAGGCCTCCAGGCAGCTAGCCTTTCACCCACCACACCCAGAATACAGCTGGGCATTTGATGACATTATTGTGTTTGCTTACTCTGCTAAGATGGCAGGTAATTTGATATTATCCAACTTAACCCTTGTGTGGTGTTCGTATTTTTGTTACTCAGCCAGTGTTCATGGGTCTGGTGGACCCGCTAGAGTTTTGGCTTTCCAAATTAACACTATCAAACAATTTTATGTTAAATTACTCAACAGATGTTTACTTCATCCCAATTACAAGACATATGAACATTTACCTTTGTTAGATCACATTTATGAATTAATGTGCTTCTCATTTTTCTTTTATATAAAATGTTATAAATAAATCAGTTATAATCAAGTGGAGTGAGTGGAAAGACACAACACATTTACACGTGACAAAAATAATTAATTGTTTAATTTTTCTTTTGAAAAAAACTGAACACGGGTCTCACAGACCCGAACACTATACAAGGGTTAAAGTCTACTTATTTTTATCATAAATAATGTAGCTTCAGATTAAGTTTTCCTATTCTGTGTTCACTACAGAGGTTCAAATGTTTGTATGTAACAAGGAGACCTATGGATACTTCCCTGTGCCACTACGTTCCCACAATACTTTGCAAGATGAAGTGGACAGTTTCTTACACACTGTGTTAGAAGTTAATGGTGAGTGGCTGAGAGCTTTACTTTTGCAACCCCCTCACTCTTAACCACTGGCTTATTCAAGTCTTAATTCTACTCTCTTCTGCTTCATCTAATGGTAACTTTCAGCATGAGTTTCTAAATATCATTTATACCATTTCTGCATCCATCTTCCCTCTGACTGTGTAGTGCGAAATGCCCCAGTGATGCCATCCAAATACATAAGTGTTCCTAGAAAACAACCTGACAAAATGGGCTTTGATGAGGTAAGAAGTGATGTGAAGATGGAATCTGCAAAAATGGCCGACTTTCTGTTTCTGCGCTGAAATTCTCTGCCTGCTGTTGAAATCTATAAATACATTGATTGGTTCCACTGTTTACCTTTGTGTAGGTGTTCATGATAAACTTGCAGAGGCGGACTGACCGCAGAGAACGTATGCTGAGGGCACTGCATGAGCAGGAGATTGCTTGTAAAGTTGTTAATGCCGTGGATGGAAAGTAAGTGATGCTTTCCACTTATATACTAATTAGTAACTACCACTGACTGGCCCATCTTTATTGTCATTTTGTCACATTTCTACTTCTCTCTATTTCAGAGCAATGAATGTCAGTGAAATTCATGCTTTGGGTATCCATATGCTTCCTGGATACAGTGACCCTTATCATGGTCGTCCACTAACAAAGGGAGAGCTGGGATGCTTTCTTTCCCACTATAACATCTGGAAAGAGGTAAACCCCTGAAGCCAAGAATTTGAATATTTCCAAACCAGACGGATGTGTGACTTAAAGATTTCTCTGGCCTTAGATTGTGGAACGAAGTCTCCACACATCTTTAGTGATCGAAGATGACCTGCGCTTTGAGGTGTTCTTCAAACGTCGCTTGATGAACTTAATGAGTGAGGTGGACCATGAAGGTCTGGATTGGGATCTCATGTATGTTTTTCCTTCCTTCATAATATTTTTTGTCATTCCCACAGAGTTTACAAATTCTTATCAACTTGTCTTTCTGTGTTTTGTTGTTTTTTTCTTCTTTTAGTTATATTGGTCGAAAGAGAATGCAAGTGGCTCACCCGGAGAAAGCAGTGCCAAATATACACAACTTGGTGGAGGCAGACTATTCATATTGGACACTAGGATATATGATATCATTACAGGGTGCCCAGAAGCTTTTAAAAGCAGAACCATTAAAGAGGATTTTGCCAGTGGATGAGTTTCTTCCTCTCATGTACAATAAACACCCTGTGTAAGTGTTAACACCAGCAAACACAAGACCACACACACACATAATATATCATGCATTTCAAAGGTTTATAGGTAGTCTTAAGAGTGCAAAAGTTGAACATTTCAGATTTATCTTAAAATGTATTCAGTTTGTATTTCCTCAACGGTCAAAAGTCTCTCAATTTATTCCATTATCGGTGCTGGCCCCTAGATTTGAACCCTGACACAGTTATATTTTGTACATCTGGGCACAATCTGAATTCAATTTATGACACAGAGACTTGAGTCACCTTTTAGAGATATTTTAAGGAACAGTCATAGAAGTAAAATACACCAGATCTCATCTGATGAGAACTAAAACTGAATCTGTGTTAAGACTATAATACTAAGAAAACTAACACTAAACACTAGAAACAACATTTCTAAAGAGTTTTTCAGTGCACTGTGTTTCTATTCAGGAGTCTTATCTTTCTTTCTTGACCTTTCCTACTCTCCAGATCTGATTATATGGAACAGTTTGAAACCAGGGACCTGCTGGCATTTTCCGCAGAGCCTCTCCTTGTGTATCCAACTCACTATACAGGTGACCCAGGATACGTCAGTGACACTGAGACCTCCACTGTGTGGGACAATGAAAAAATCCGCACAGACTGGGACAGAGCACGCTCAGGAAAAAGTCATGAGCAGGCTGAGATCAGCACAGAGGCACAGAACTCAGATGTGCTCCAGTCTCCTTTGGACAGTACAGCACGGGATGAGCTATGAGAGGAAGTCACTAAGAGCCTTGGAAAAATAAAAAAAAGGTCCATAAAACGCACCACATTAGTTTTGTAATCATGTTTAACCTTTGATCACTTTGATTTTGCATCAGATCAGATGTGGTATCAAAGAATATAGAGAAGTTTAAATTATCAGAAGTGAAAAGTTAAAAAGGGATCATGCATGTCATGTTTTCTGCTGTCGTCAGCTTGTGGTTTTTACTTTATAAAGGCACTAGACTTGCCATTTGGAATGGCATTTGCAGTTCCCACCTACTCTCTGTCATACAGAAATAATGTATACTGGTAAAGAACAAAACTGGACTGCTGCGTTTCAGTGGTGCTAATTTGAGATTAGACTGCGTTTTGTAGCCTTGAGAAATTAATGAATTTGGCTACAACAACAACAAATCTGCACCACAGAGCAAAATAAAGACGTCTTAGATCAACCTATGCAAAACCTATGAACTTTTGGCATTTTGAATCGTTTTGTTTGTTTTTGTTAAATTTTATAACAGTGCTTTTTTTAAAAAAAATTTTAGTTGGTCATTGGACGGTACAATAGAACCCTGTAGCAAATTTCTATCAAAGTGACAAAATTCAGAACCAAGTAATTTAATTTACAGAAATACTGAGGCAGATTTACCACCAGTAAATGTTGCTGTTTTGTTTAAATTTTTGTTTTGTTTTGTCCTGTTTTTTTGTTTGTTTGTTTGTTTGGTTTTTTTACTCTTGTAGTTCCACCAACCACCTCTTCATACAAATAGACGTGAGACAAGCCACCAAACACACTGGTGTTTCAACTTGCCCACATCCAAATGCACATCAGCCACTTTATTACCTCTCTCCCACAGATGCGGTGCTGGTACCCATGCAAGTTCTGCCTTAGTTTTTGGGGTTTTTTTAGAAAGAGCTCACATTTATGTAGCAGACTTTGAAGTATTTTCCATGTCCATAAAGTTATGGCACAGTGACGCACCACTGTGGGCTGCATCTATAAATTACCTGTGAAATTTTTGTGGTTGCCCTTCTTTTTGCCAATGATTGTTCTGATTTTGGGCCCATTGGTTTTGTGGCGTTGTGAATACATTTGTCTTTTTTGGCAGAAATTCTATCAAACAGGTTCTGGATTAAGCACCAGCGCTGCATCGGTGGAAAAGAGCTGTATTGCTGTTCCATCTCAGATCAGTTCAGTGTGAATGTTGAGCATTTTGATTGTGGTAGACTTTATGAATTGTCATTACATAAGATAAGTGTAGATCATCATATTTCTCACAGTATATTTATTGTGTCATGGTTTCCCTCATCACATACACAGATCTCTGATGAAGCCAGTTTCTGTTGAGTCCTGATGGGAGTTATTCACTCACTAAGTGTGCACAAAATGTTAGTGGTGCTTGTACCGACAAAAAATAAAATGTTTTCTTTTTAACAGGTTCGACTTCTGTCATTATATGCTTACTGTTCTGTTGGAGTAACCATTTTTTTAGTTAATGTTGACTGTCCAAATACAAATTATGACGTCTGTATATTGTGACTAATGGAAAATTGTCTGTTACTGTGTAGCCTCTGGCACAGTAACATTTTACTGTGAAGTCATTCACACATTGTAGACTGTGACCTGAATGCAGATTTTGCCTTCACCATTTCATTCATCATTGTCACTGGAAAACACAGAGTACCCAAGCTGCTGATTACAAGTCGAATTGAACTTTTTAGCTGATTATTCTCGGCATGTCACGCAACCGACTTTCTCATTGAGGTTTTTATCACACCTGCAGATGGCTGAATAAGGTGGCTTACATGACAGTGAAATAATGTTTCTTAAATAACTTATTATATATATTAACAACTGTGTTTAGTATATACTAATTTTTAACCAAGTTGGTTTTAACCAAGATATGTTTTCTGAAGTGTAATTGTTACATTACAGTGGTACATGCCAATATTTAAGGAACAATCTTTCTTACTACGACAATACAAATTTATCACAGTGGTACCTTTTCACTATATATGGTTAGACAATGTAGGTGGGGCCTCCAGTGACTGTAAGATACACTTCCTCTTCCCCTTGATGGCGAAAACATTGGCCAACCTTCACTCTACCAGAGGAAGATCATTTTAAGAACTTGCATATCAGCGCGCTTGGGGCTCAGCTTTATATCGCTGTGTTTAAACTACAGTCCTGATTTCCTACCACTTCAAATACAAAGTGTTTTACTGTGTATTGTAGTTTGACCCTGATGCGAGATAATGTGTGAGAGGTGTTGTTAGGGTCTGCCTACTGTGGAAATAGCGCAGAAATGGAAGAAGATTTAGTGGAAAACAAGGATTCTACTCAAGGCACAGGTGAGCACAAATAAGATATATGACATGTGGTCATTTTGAGTAAATTGTATCCTTTACTCTAAATATCAACTTGCCCATGCTTAAATGAAACTTAAATCTGTTTTCTTTCCTTTCAAAATGTTAAAACTTTTTTGCTATTAATACACATTTTTCTTCATTTGAAGAAACCCCAAACTTTTTAATTGCCAAATATTATTTTGGTTTGTGTTACTGGAAATCTACTCAAAGCAGTGTAGCGCCATTATGACATGGGTATTCATGTGGGTGCATGCAGACGCTGCATGCATAAAGTGCCTTTGTTAATGAGTCTGTCAGAAGATTTCTGCTGCTGTGCGGCATCCTCCTTGTTGATGAACTTCCTGAACTCTTTTTTTAAAGGTTCTTGTTCTGTCTTTTTGTTTAACTTCTGTATTTTTATTCAGCAGAATTAGCCTACTCCTTCCAAAAAGCCAAGACTGTCCACTTCTTTTAAAACTAATGTTTTGGAGACTTTTGTGTCATTTGACACACTAGAAATTAGAAATGTTTCTTTGCTTGAAAGTTTCTATTCAGAAGCTTGTTGCAGTGTAGCCTCAATTCATGCAAGTAGCTTTTGCAAATGTTGCGGGTAAACAGCAAACACAACTGTCAGAGTTAAGTGCAACTACATTGGAAAACTGTGTTCAAATTTTGCTGAAACATCTTACTTTCCTGTCAGCTCTTATTCTTGAGCTGAAACACTGGTGGTGTGAAAAACAAGGACTCTATGTACACGATGGGACGTGACACAAACTGCAAGCAGGATGTGGTTGACCAAAATGGAGGCCTCTCTGAGCGAGTGATTTCTTTTTTACATTTGTTACACCTATTGTGAATGATCAGTTCTTAACTTTTTGCTATGTCAGAGGGTTATAAACGGTCAAAGTGTTGCACAAAAGCACAAAAGTTTAAGCAACAAAATGTGTCAGTTTTATTTCACATTAAGTGCAAATGCTGTCAGATAGGATTTTATGAGAAGCTAAGTTTGATTATTTTTTTGAACTGGATCCTTTTTTCAGTTCATCTATGTGTGTATCTGTGTGTTTGCAAGCTACCAAATGTTGGCATATACTTGATGAACTAGCTTTGATACTGTGGTATAATATGCATTTCTATATAGTTTGTGCTCTTTCGGGGTGGGGGAAGGGTTCACATGTCAGGATCACCGTTTACTCTATGTAACATAAATACAATGTAAAGTTTGTGTGTATCTTAGCTTTTACATTTCTCATTTCAGATGTGAAACGAGTGCAGAAATCGGAAACAAAACGATACAGTGAGATCTTCCGAGATTTTGATAACCTTGATTTATCTTTCATCTCTTCGTAAGTATTACCTTGTGCAACCCTTTTCTCCTGCATCACTCGGGTGCTAAGTAAAAACTGTGGTTAGTGAATTGGTATTTCAAATGGTCTAGAGATGGAAAATGATAAGAAGCTCTTGAGGATGGAATTATTAATTTATATTTTATCATTTAATAATCCATCAACATGAACTCAATTATGTATGATCTGTCGGTATATTTATCTAGTGCAAGCTTTTAACTAAAGGTTTAATAACTTTCTATATTAGCATTGCCATGTCTGGTTTAATCTATCCTGATTGTGACTCATATTTTATTAGAAGCACTGACTGGAAACTGTTTATAACATTTCTCTAAAGCAAAGGTGCAGTGGTGAATATAGTTAAGATGATAAAAATACATAAACTGGACCTTGAAAGGTTCTTAAGGGGCTTGTTTATGGTACTAAAAGGCCCAGTAGCATATGCTTGCTGGCATATTCCTTGACAAATATGTTTCTCTCCTTATACATTCTTTCTGTGCTCAGCTCAGGGGATGATCTGCTAGCAGAGATTGACTCCCAGTCCATCTCAGAACCTATCTCTGTAGAAACTGCAGAGACCACAGAGCAACATGACGTGACTGTAAGAAATAAATACCTTTTGAATGTAGTGAATGACCTACTTAATCAAAGGCCTGTCATTTATGCTGTTGTTTATGCTAAAGTTTAGCTCAGGTTCAGTTTTCAAATGATGGTTTGTTTTTAGACGATTAGATGTGCTTTGATAGAGTTGTAGAGTTCCACCAGTTTGAAGATGCACTTTGTCCACAGATATGTGCCGAACCCAATGACGTGGATGGAACTCAGACAGGTATGGTTTGTGTGACAGAAGGGATGAAAAAGCCCAAATGAGTGTGTTATTGTCTGCATGCTCTCTGGTCAGGGTCAGTGAATAACAACAGCTGTTATAAACAGTTGGTCTCAATGCGACATTCCTTTACACTGTGAACCTGTTGCTGAAGTGGTTCAGTCACCTGTTTAACCTAGCACTAACCTTCCTGGGACTGACAGGATACTATCCTTCATCCCATCGGATCATTAGATGTAGCAGGAGCTACTGCCTGTGACACTTTACAAATACTCTTCTTCAACATTTATTTATTGTCTTATAATCAGCTGTGAGTTGTAACGATCCCTCTGTAACAAGATTAGGCTAAAGAGAGAGGATTAAAGCAGGGGACAGCTGCTCTCAGTTTTTACATTAGACTAGTGGAAAAAAGAGAGTCACAGAAATCTCCTGTTACATGGTCTATGGCATAAATACAAGTCAGATGGATAAATGCACCAGACTTACTCATAGTCTACAGTGGGACTTTGGGCTAAGTGCACAAACTTCAGTTTGACTCAAATTATAGGCACATGGTAAGATAAGATATTACAGAGGCACACTGTGTTAAACTTGGATGGTGAGCAATGTCAAATGTATTCTTGGGGCATAGAAGCTCTTCTCAAGAACACCTCCCCCACACCACCTTAGCACGCTTGCTCTCTCACATGCCAGGAGATAAACCTGATTCAACGCTCCTCTAAACCCTGTCACTCTGCATTCTGGACTTGACTTGAATAATCCTTATTCCAAGTGCTTGAACTCCAAAGGATTGATTTCTGAAAGTGCTCAGAGCTCTCCCTAGAGAGGAAAGGCTAAGAGAGGTCACCCATAGCACAAAACCTAACATATCTCTGGAATTGCATGTTCTATTTTGTGGGCTGCGCATGATGGCAGAAGAAAGTCTGGTTTGATTTTTTTTCCTACCACTCTAACTGGATTTGGCAGCTATCTGAAGAGGAAGAGCAGTATAAAATCTGCCTCTCTGTCACTCTGGCATAACATGCTTGCATGTTTTAAAGCACTGCACAATGGACCGCTAGAAGAAGTGAAAGTTGCTGAAATGCATCGGCTTTGGTTAAAAGAAAAAAAAATATTGCATTTATTTGCGAAGGTTGTGCTGGAAGTGGAACACATTGAGAAAGTAGTGTAGGGAGCTTTTGTTAGACCATGTGACTGTCACAGATACATCATCCACCCTGCACTAGTGTGACTCACAGAGGAAGAAGAGTGGTTATCGTATTAACGCCCTGCCTTGGTGACCACAGTAGCGCTATAACAACATGCTAGTGTGCTGTTATGTGCTCTCACAACATGGCTTGTGTCGGTAGCTGACTACGAGTGAACAGGTGTGAGAGGGAGGGGCCAGGCAAAAGGGAAGAGAGAGGAGGGAAGTTATTTAGCTAAAGCAGTTTGTTTTGGGGCTGTCCTCTCTCTAGTTACATCCTTTTTCTGTCAACTGTGAGACATAGGACTAATTTAAGAGGGGGTTTTTCTTTGTTTTTTACCGACAAACTAATGTATATTTTAGTATACATGCTAGAGTTTGCTCTCACCTTCTGGAAACTGCAGGACCTTTACTCTGAGGAGCAGCTATGACTTGTCATATCCAGCCATTATTTCCTGTTTTGGGTTTGTGTATATCTTTTTTTAAAACTGGTATTTGATTTTTAAATTTCTTTATGTTGTCAGATATAGTCTGGGACCATTAATATCACTTAAGGACAGACTAAACGTTTTCTTGAGAAAAGGGGATATTAGGTGCTATTACAGTGTAATTCCTGGGTACACCTCGAGCCTACCATTATGATGATGTACTCTCTCACAGTCCAAGAAGCAGACCTGGCCCTATGTCGCTGTGAGGATGGAGTGGAGACGGCGCTGCAGTACGCCAAGTT